TCTATTACTTATGAAGAAGTCACTCACAAGCAAAACATTGCAGAAAGAGAGACATGAAATGAGAACAGAACACTGATGAGTGAAGACCCTCCAACCATACAGAAGAAAAATTAATCTTTAATTATACATGCTAGTATAACAGAATGGTTAAATAGGGAGGTTTTAGGCCAAAGTTCCATTTTTAAGCTCTTTATTCTCATTGATTAATTCTATTTACACAATCAAAGACAGATAATTTAGCAAGGTCTGTAACAGCAGTATCAGGAAATAGCTGAATATCCATAGATTTGTTACTGATTTCTGCCTGCTCCCAGAATTCTGAGACATTTTTCAGTAAATCCTTTTCGTAATAACATTAAAGTAACATAATAGACCATACGACATGAACAAGCGTAATAGGAGTGTAGCGTCCTCCTCCCCAGACCTGAAGCCACAGCACACCCTTCCTATTGACAAGGTTCTGCCTCTGCCTGGCACCTGGAAAAAATTAACCCACTTGCACTCTGTTTAGCCATCGCTACCAGCGGATCGGGAAGCCACCGACACAGCAGATGACAGGTCTATCGCTGAGGCACAAAAGAAGGGGAAAAAAAAGCCACCTGTCTACTGCTGCTCTTGCACTGCAGAATTAAGCACGAACAAAGTCAGTAACGCGTATGACCTGAGTACATACAGGAAATAAGAGAGCACTTTTCCACGAAGCTGTTTATGTTAACTCTGCATGTTATGGAGAGTTTATGTTAACTCTCCACTATCCACAGAACGAAACAGTGAGCCAGTGTCCAACAGAATAAAACATTAAGGTCGCACAACTCGCATTCACAGGGGACAGCTGTGACTTCAGAGCTGGTGGCAAGAAATTTCGTGCCCTCCCGTTACCCCCACAACCAGCAGGCTTTATACCTCCAGGCGCTACGGGACAAGGGACCGCTTTCCCTAGGACTACCCTCACCCACTCACGGATTCATCTCCCCTGTTATTCAGTGTTTAAGAGCCACAGTGTTTATTTTGAAGGGTTACGACTTCAAGCAGCGAGCAGCCACGCAGGCGAGGAGTCTACAAGCGCTCCCACG